TCATCTTCCTCCTCCTCCTCCTCACTCTCCATTTTTCCCTTTTTCACCCCGTTTTTCCCAGAATTTTTTGGTTTTTCCCCAATTTTTCCTCTTTTCACCCCAATTTTCTTTCTCTTCTCCTCCTCCTCCTCTTCCTCCTCCTCTTCTTCATCCTCATCTTCCTCCTCCTCATCCTCACTCTCAATTTTTCCCTTTTTCACCCCGTTTTTCCCGGATTTTTTTGGTTTTTCCCCATTTTTTCCCCTTTTCACCCCAATTTTCCTCCTCTCCTCCTCATCCTCGTCCTCATCCTCATCTTCCTCCTCCTCACTCTCCATTTTTCCCTTTTTCACCCCGTTTTTCCCGGAATTTTTTGGTTTTTCCCCAATTTTTCCCCTTTTCACCCCAATTTTCTTCCTCTCCTCCTCGTCCTCATCTTCATCTTCCTCCTCCTCCTCCTCACTCTCAATTTTTCCCTTTTTCACCCCGTTTTTCCCAGAATTTTTTGGTTTTTCCCCATTTTTTCCCCTTTTCACCCCAATTTTCTTCCTCTTCTCCTCCTCCTCGTCCTCATCCTCCTCTTCTTCATCCTCATCTTCCTCCTCCTCATCCTCACTCTCAATTTTTCCCTTTTTCACCCCGTTTTTCCCGGATTTTTTTGTTTTTTCCCCATTTTTTCCCCTTTTCACCCCAATTTTCTTCCTCTCCTCCTCGTCCTCATCTTCATCCTCATCTTCCTCATCCTCACTCTCAATTTTTCCCTTTTTCACCCCGTTTTTCCCAGAATTTTTTGTTTTTTCCCCAATTTTTCCTCTTTTCACCCCAATTTTCTTTCTCTTCTCCTCCTCCTCCTCTTCCTCCTCCTCTTCTTCATCCTCATCTTCCTCCTCCTCCTCCTCACTCTCCATTTTTCCCTTTTTCACCCCATTTTTCCCAGAATTTTTTGCTTTTTCCCCAATTTTTCCTCTTTTCACCCCAATTTTCTTCCTCTTCTCCTCCTCCTCGTCCTCATCCTCCTCTTCTTCATCCTCATCTTCCTCCTCCTCCTCCTCACTCTCCATTTTCCTCCTTCTCCCCCCGATTTTCCCCGTTTTTTCTTCTTTTTTTCCTCTTTTCACCCCAATTTTCTTCCTCTTCTCTTCCTCCTCTTCCTCCTCCTCATCCTCACTCTCCATTTTCCTCCTTCTCCCCCCGATTTTCCCCGTTTTTTCTTCTTTTTTTCCTCTTTTCACCCCAATTTTCCTCCTCTCCTCCCCGTCCTCATCTTCCTCCTCACTCTCAATTTCCCCCTTTTTCACCCCATTTTTTCCTTTTTTCTCCCCGTTTTTCTTCCTCTCTTCCTCCTCCTCCTCCTCTTCCTCGCTCTCAATTTTCCGCCTTTTCCCCAAACTTTTCCCGATTTTCTCCCGAATTTCCTTCCTCTCCTCTTCCTCCTCCTCCTCCTCGCTCCCAATTTCCTCCTTTTTTTTCCCATTTACCCCGGATTTTTCCTCGAATTTTTTCCCATTTTCCCCGGATTTTTCCTCGGATTTTTCCCCAGATTTTTTCCCATTTTCCCTGGATTTTTCCTCGAATTTTTCCCCGGATTTTTCCTCATTTTCCCCGGATTTTTCCCCGGATTTTTCCTCAGATTTTTTCCCATTTTCCCCGCATTTTTCCTCTAATTTTTCCCCGTTTTTTTCCCTATTTTCCCCGGATTTTTCCCCAGATTTTTCCCCATTTTCCCCGGATTTTTCCTCATTTTCCCGCCCCTCCCCCTCCTCCCAGCCGCCAGGGGGCGCCACGCACAGGGCGTGGTCCCCTCTGGCCACGCCCCCTTCCTGCTCCGCGCATGCGCTTTCCTCCCCGCCGCGATCCGGCGCCCTGCGGATAGAAAGGGGCGGGGTCAAGCAGGGCGCGGGCTCGGGGGGCGTGGCCAGCGCAGAGCGCGGCCCGGGGGGGTCTCCGGTGCCTCCCCTCCCCCCTCCCGTTACCGATCGCCGCCGCTCGGCGCCGCCGCCGCCGCCATTTTAACGCCGTCAGGGCGGCAACCAATCAAAATGGAGATAAAGGACGGCGGGGCGGGGCTTGAGACGCGCGGACCAATGAGGAAAGAGCGGTGTCAACCAGGCAATGACATCAGCCAATGGGGTGCGGCGCGGGGAAGCGGCAGCCAATGGAGGCGAAGAAAAGGCGGGACGGGGATGAGCAGCGGCCGCCTCAGCCAATCAGAGCGCGGCGCGGAGCCGCAGCAGGCAATAGAAACGAGGAGGAGGCAAGACCAAGCGGCCGAGCCAATAGCGGAGGGGCAAAGGCGGGCACAGACCCGCAGGTCTGATTGACAGCAGCGCCACCCGATCAAATCGCAGCGTGGAAAACCGCCGACCAATCAAAAACAGCGGAGGACGGGACTCACCTCGCTCAGCCAATCACGCTCTGAACCGACCCCGGAAGCGACAGGCGGGACTTCCGCAAGCCCAACCAATCAGGCGGCGGCGCGGGAAGGGAGCTACCAATGAGAAGCGAGAAGAAGGGCGGGGCTTGTCCGCCATGAACGGGGCGGGCGAGGGCGATGGCGGCGGCTACAAACGGCGCTGCCGGGCTCTGAAACGGCGGCTGAAGCTGCTGCTCTACGTGAGGGGCGGGGCCGGAAAAGGCGGGAAGCGAAGTGGGCGGGGCCTGCGCGTGAGGGGAGCCCCCCCCCCCCCGGGGGAATTTTGTGGGATGGGAATTGAGGGAAAAACGGGAAAATTGTGGGGAAAAAAATGAAAAATTCGGGCGTGGAACGGAAACTCTGAGGGGAAAAGTTTTGATTTTGAGGGAAATAAAAGAGTTTTGGGGAAAGGGGGAGGTTTGGGGGGGAGGAAATGGATTTGGGGGGGAAATGTGAATTTTGAGGGAAAAATGTGAAATTTGAGGGGGAAATTGTGAAATTTGAGGGGAAAATGTGAATTTTGAGGGGAAAAATGTGAATTTTGAGGGGAAAATGTGAATTTTGAGGGGAAAATTGTGAAATTTCAGGGGAAGATGTGAATTTTGAGGGGAAAATTGTGAAATTTGAGGGAAAAATGTGAATTTTGAGGGGGGAAGTTGGACGAAGGTGGGAGGAATTGAATAATTTTGGTTTAAATGTGGCTGTTTTAGGTGGAACGGAAGCCAAGATTTACAAAGCGTTGATCTGGGGGTGAAAATATTCATTTTAGGAGGAAAGAAGCCAAATTTTCTAATTTTGGGGTGAACTCCTCGGAGTTTTTGGAGAAATTTGAGCTTTGAGGGAATATTTCTTTAATTTTGTATAAAAAAGCTTCAATTTTAAGGAGGAGAAATCCCAAACTTTGGTCATAAAATCGTTCGGCGTGGGAAAGATCCGGGATTTTTAGCAAAAGTCAGAGTTTTGTGGAGAAAACCAATCATTTTAGGAGAAATACCCAAATTTGGGGGAAACCTTGACTGATTTGGAGGATAAAAATGATCATTTTGAGAAAAAGCCTCAGTTTTGGGGTAAAAAAGCTTCAATTGGGGAGAAAAAACCAAATTTTGGGGGGAAGGGGGGGATAGAAGCCGAATTTTGGGAGGAAAAAAGGTGAATTCAGGGGAAAAATCTGAATTTTTGTGGTGAAAAATCTGAATTTTGGCGGAAAAAACCCGAATTTTGGGGGGAAGGTTGAATTCTGGGTGGAAAAACCCCAAATTTTGGGGAGAAAATGATAAATTTTGGGGGGGGGAAGGGTGGGTAGAAGCCGAATTTAGGGGGGAAAAAGGTGAATTTCGGGGGGGGGGGAAATTGGGAATTTCGGGGTGAAACCCCAGGATTTTGGGGCCGGGATTTTGGGCGGTTCCTTTTCCCCTCCCCCCGCTCCGGCTGGGCGTGGCCAAAGCGGCCCCGCCCACCCCTGGCCCCGCCCCCA